AAATCTCAAGTCGGTGGGGCTGTGACTTACCTACCTCTATTTCCTGATGCCTATCTCTGATTGTGAGACTTCTGGCCAATGCTCTAGAATAATGTCTGAAACCTCCAGGGCTGGGAGCTCATTTCTCCAAAACAAACACTGTCATGGTGCTGTGGTGCTCAGCTCAAGGCACAGGCTACCTCATTCACTGGAGCCCAAGGAGGAGATCTCAGTGGAGTCTCCTTCCTCAAGTCTATGCACTGAGCTGCAGACACCAGGGCACTGGCATATGTAAGTATCCGTTTATTAACAGCCCAGCTCCAAGAGTGTAACACACAGGCATGGAGCCTTCCCTTGAGAGTGGAACAGAATCATAGACTCAGATATTGAAATACTCATCTGTTCTAGGTAGGTGGCCGAGTGACCCCGGGACCCTCTGTTTAGTCAGGCCAAGTAGCATTTACATGGGGGTGCACATGTGTCTAAGTGTGTATGTGGAACCCAGAGGTAGACACTGGGGTGTCTTACTCTGCTTTATCACCTCATGTGCTCAGGCACGGTCTCTCACTGAGCCCCGTGCTTGCTGACTTGTTGTAGGGATCCGCCATCTCTGCCTCTGGATATGGAGATACATGTGGGTTTCCATGTCTGCCTTGCTTTTACATGGATGCTATAGACACAAACTCCAGTTATTGGCTGAGCCATCTCCCAGCCCCGGATCAGGAACATTTTGGAAAGTTGACAGCTGAGAATAGGTAACCCCAGGGCTTCGACAGTCACCACGCAGTCACAGGCTAGCAGTAGATGGCCACCTGAACACGACTTAGGACAGCAACTTTCAGTCTGCCCAGACCCACTGTCACAAGGCCCTAGTGACTTAGCTCTCTGCTCAGTACTAGGTACTATATACCTGCTTCTCTTTGGTCCCCCCCACCTCCAGCTTTCACTCAGGAGTAAGAAGGTTTATGTTTCCTGAAATCCCCAGAGAAGCTGCTTCACTATCCAGCCTCTTTCTCGAGGCCACAGGTCTCTGCTTGGCTCCCGTTCCCTCAGTTCACTGCTAATGCTCTCTGCCAAGAGACCCATCTCCGTATCAGCGAAGGCTTCCTCTACCATCAATTTTGATTAAAGCACAAAGATGAAAGATGTGATTTTAGTTTTTTTCCACTCTGTGCATCCCAGACTGTTTAAAACCCTCCCCCATCTGCGCCGGGACAGCAGTGACTTCCTCAGACTCTTCTGGCTATGGAGGGTGAGCCCCTCCCCTTCACCCCTGTGGTGTGTTCATGTTTCCCTGGATACCATGAGCAACCCCATCTAGCCACAGAACTTCTACAACCCATGCTTAGAAAAGGTCGCATTTAGAAGTAGGGACAATCTTTGAGATAGAAATCGGGCAAGGTGTAAATTGGCTTTGTCTTCCAGTCTCTCCCTCCTTCCTGTTGTTCTCAGACAAGTTGACAGTGAGCTGAATTCTTTTTTTTATAATTCTTTTAAATCTAATTTTTATTATTACCTTTATTTATATGTATACATTTGTATCTATGTGTGTGTCTGTGTGTGTGCATGTGTGTGCTGGTACCCACAGAGGCCAGAAGAGGGCATTGGATTCACTGGAACTGAAGTTATAGGCAGTTGTGAATTGCCCAGAGTAGCAAATTCCAGTGCATTGCAAGAGCAGCAAGCACTTTTACCCACTAACCCATTGTGATGGTTTGAATATGCTTGGCCCAGGGAGTGGCACTATTTGGAGGTGTGGCCTTGCTGGAGTGGATGTGCCTTTGTTGGAGTGGGTGTGACCTTGTTGGAGTAGGTGTGTCACTCTGGGCGTGGGCTTTAAGACCCTCATCCTAGCTGCCTGGAAGTCAGTGTTCTGCTAGCTGCCTTCAGATGAAGATGTTGAATTCTCAGCTCCTCCTGCACCATGCCTGCCTGGATGCTGCCATGTTCTTACCTTGATGATAATGGACTGAACCTCTGAACCTGTAAGCCAGCCCCAATTAAATGTTGTCATTATAAGAGATGCCTTGGTCATGGTGTCTGTTCACGAAGCAGTAAAACCCTAACTAAGACACCCATGTCTCCGTTTTCTTTATTATGTGTGGAGGCAGCATGGGGGTGAGGTGGGGTAGGTGCAAGTCTATCACGTCATACAAGTGGAGATCAGAGGCCGGCTCCTACAGGTCAGTTCCTCTCTCCAGCATGTGAGTCCTGGGGATCAGACTCAGGTTGTCAGGTTTAGGGCAAATGCTTTTGCCTCCTGAGCCATCTCATCAGCCCGATTTCTAGACTTTTCCTGGATGCTTTCACAGGAAGCCAGTAGACTGGAGGCCGAGCCTTGGTGCTTTTCTCTATATGACTAATCTCTCCATGTGGTCTTTCATCTTGCTCACTCTGACCTTGTGAACACCTTGAGTTTAACAATGCATGAGCTTTTTAACCCAACAGTTTAAGGTGTGCTAGGCTGTCCCTGCCCCCGAGTTTCAGCTCCCAAGTATCAGCAGTCCTTGTCTCCAGGTGGACTGTCCCTGTTGTCTGTGTTTAAGACAGTGCTGTGCTACCTTTGAGGTTCAGGGACTCTTTCTGTGTGCATGGTTGATGGGAACTGGAGGGAACATTTGTCTTGTCTCCTAATTACACACTGATACACTCAGGACCACTTAACCATCAAATGCATCCTTTCCTGGATGTCTGCTTTTCTCCATGACTCAGGACATTATTTCCTTATTGCCTGTGGGGATTTCTTGGGCCCGGCTCACAGTTCCTAAATCTATTTGCTTCCTGTCTTGGCTGCTGTTCAGAAGTGCTTGCTGCATTAAGTATCTCCCCAGCCATTTCTGGCTGGCTCAGTCACTGTTGCCTTAAGTCAGCATGGAAGACTCTATGGGCTCTGGGTTCTTGTCCCCAGACCCTAAGAGGGCACAGGAGGCTGACCTTGGGGCTCCGTGCAAACACCATCAGAGGCCCTGCCTCTCAAATTTGTGTCCTGTGTTACAGGTTGATTTTTAAAGGATTCCATCTCTAACTGTGTGAGGACACAAAGGCATTTTCCTCAGATAAAATCTAGTTCCAATAAAGACTGCCATCATTGTCCAACTTCTTTTCTCCCTGGGCCCAGTGATGTTCTTTCTTATCTGGTGATCTCTAGGAGCAACTTCAGACAGGCATGAGATTTGAAGTGGGTAGTTGTGGGATTTGGCAACTGTGTTCCTCCCTCCCTCCCTCCCTCCCTTGCTTTTTTTCCAAATTGATACAAGCTAAAGTCATCTGGGAAGAGGGAAACTCAACAGAGACAATGCCTCCATCAGATTGGTCTATAGGAGTGTTCAGTGTACTGTAGGCTGTGCTATCCCATGGGCTGGTGGTCCTGGGTGCTGTAAGAAAGCAGGCTGAGCAAGCATTGGCAGGCAAGCCAGTAAGTGACACTCTCTCCTGGCCTCTGCTTCAGTTCCTGCCTCCAGGTTCCTGCCTTGAGCTTTTGCCCTGGATTTGCGCAACCACAGAGTGTGCTAAAGATACATAAGACAAATACATTGTTTCCTTTCACTCTCTAGATTGTTTTTGGTCAGTGTTTCATCAAGGCAGCAGAGGCACCACCTGGGGCAGCAACCTTAAGGGGAAGTGTAACAGATGAGTATGGTTGGAGGAAGGTGATGAGGATGGAAGGGAATGGCTATGACTTCTAGCTTTTGCTCAACCCCAGGGATTGATGGAATAGTGTCTCACAGGCCAACAGTCTTTCCTGAGTGTTTCAGGCAAGACAGATTATGTGGCAGGATTTTCCCTGTCCAATCTCTTTAAATATTAGTGCAGCAGGAGGCCTGTGATTGGACAGGGAAAGGGGAGGTGGCGCTAAGAGCTGCAGAGAGAGACGGAGATGGAGAGGGGAGAAGAATCAAGATGGAGGACGCACAGGGAGAAGATCCTGAACCAGCATGGCTCTAACTAGCCATATGTAGATATGATTTCATATACCGATAGAATGATTGGGGGTGACTTGTCTATTCTAGGTGGGTACCTTGTACCATTATCAATTGGCCTTGAAATTATTGTGTGGGCATCTTGTGACTTGAGAATTTACTGATATATAAATCTGACTGATTAACTATAAGCTTCAAGTGTTTTGATTTTACCGGGTTACTGGGTATTGTGGTATCAAACTGTGAGGTAGGCAGTCATTAAATGGGGCTGGTGTGGCAGCAACCACGCCAAGGGAAATTAGCGAGTTGGGTGGAGACATCTCGGGGACTCTGAACCAGAGGGTCTGTGGAGATGAGAACACCCTGCTGGGACCTTGTGGCCCACCAGTGCTGGGAGTAGCACAGGAAGCCTGTCAGACCCTCTCATTTTTATTATTTCCCACAATACGATTAAGCTGATCCTTGGACGCAGCCCATGTTGAACATAGAAAAACTAAGGGTATAATATTATGAAACCCTGTGGGTCACACCAATGGCTCTCAGGAAGGGCTCAGGGAGCCTGCTGTGTGGCAAGGCATGGGTTATTATTCCATGGGAGCTGATCTAGTTTGTTAACTACACACCCTGCCTTGTTGTCAGATGCTCAAATTCATTCTGCCATTCACATGAGAGAGGACATGTGTGGAAACCAGAAAGAGACTAAGGGCAGTGAAATACCCCAAGCACCTGGTTCCTAGCACTTCTGCCTTTGACCTCAGCATGGTTCCACTCCTCTTGCCAGAGTGAGGATTCTGCTTTCATTTCTCTCCCTCCAAGACCTACCAGGGCTGTTTCTAGCAGATGCTGCCTGTTTCCTATTGCACAAAACTGGGCTGCTAGGACAGAGGAGTGGAGGTGAAGAATGGAGGCTTTATCACAAAAGGCAGAGAGAATTCTGACTTTGACCTCAGGACAGAGCGGGGTGCATTTTGTGCATATTGTAGTGTCTCACTCTTGGTCCCTCCGACTGCCCACCAGCGCTGGCCTCCAGGGTCAACTCAGTTGCCTGGCACTTGGAGAACAGCCCCCCAGGTGAGTGACGGATGGTCTAGGAGTCCCTACCTGAATCTCTGTTTCACAGACTGCTTCTCTGTGGATTTGCACACGTGCCCTGCGTAGTACAACGGGAAGAACAGAAAGTTCCAGTTGGTGGCAAACCACGTCAGGGTGAAGGGTGCATCGAAGGTCTTGAAAGTCAACCTGGCGAGCTGCGTGGAGCCGGCCCAGGAGGCACACACGCAGAACACAACGGCCACGCCCCAGAAGACCTTCCTGAGCTGCTCTTGAGAACATGTCCAGTGGTGCCGACTGGTCCTCCCTCCAGCCTCTGTCCCAGCTGGCGCCTGGGCCTCTGCAGGGCCCGGGGGCTCCCGGGGGCGCTCCTCCCCTGAAGAAGAGAAGGGGTGTTAGCTGGGTCTTCAGACTTCTGGCTGAACCTATAGTTTGATCTCTGGCAACCATGCAACCATGCAGGGGCAGGCAGGTTCGGGATGCTGGGCAATGCTCTGGATTACAGCTGGAAGATGTATGCTAGGTTTCCTAACCTGGAGGACACTGGACCCCAGCGAGTAATCTCCAGGTCTGGCTCTATCAGCATCCTTCAACACTGCCTTGGGGGACTTTATGAATGGCAAACTCCTGGGCTCCAGACCCAGATCCTTGGACTGCACCTGATGTTGGCAGGTGATCTGCATGGTGAGTTTGAGGAATATATTTCCAGAACGGATAGAGAAGCTGAAACACGAGGTCTTATATGTCCCTGGGTGTCACCAAACTTGCTACAAAGTTGAAGATGACCTTGAACTTCCAATTCCTCTACTTGTTCCTTCCTGGTTCTGGGATTACAGCTGTGTGCCACCATATCCAGTTTATGAAAGAGTAGGGGCTAAACCCAGCACTTCATGCATGCTAGGTAAATGCTCTACTAGCTGAGCTACATCCTCAGCCTGATGTATTTATCTGTGGTATTGGGAATGTAAACCCAGACCCTTGCAATGCTAAGCAAGCTCCTAACAGTCAGCCAAAACTCCAGCATTCGCCTCTACTTTGAACACTGAAGTGGCCTTTCACCAAGGCATCCAGGCTGGCCATAGATTTACTGTAGCTCAGGCTGGTCTTGACCTTAAGATCCTCCTGCCTCAGTTTTATTGGGATAACATGTGTGCACCACCAGGTCTGGCTTTCCACTTCATGTATGTCAGCTCACATGTGTTTGCATGTTGCTGGGTTGCAGTGGGGCGTAGGAATTCCTCATGGAGGGGATGAAGACCTTTGATGTCTAGAAGGTCCTTGATGGATGTTCCTTCCTGTCTGGTTCTGAAAAGCAGATGATTCTCCTCTTATTCTGCATATCACACCTAAATAGACATTCTTTCTCCTTCTATCTGCTCTACCCAGCTTCCTACAGGTGGCCTCCACCCTCACCTTCAAGCTTTTCCTCAAAGCCTCAAGCTCTGGGCAACTACTATGTCAAAGGCCACAGACACAGAAAGCCATGTCATTTGGAGAAGTCAGGCCACAGCCTACAACTGGGCCGCACCAGCCCCATGTTCTCCAAGACCCTGAGAAGGCAAGAGAGCTGGTATCCCGTGTGAGCGTGGGCAGATGCAGACATGCAGATCTTGCCTTTTGTGGCGCCTCCTCAGCACTTGGATGAATGGAGAAACAATTTTCTCCAGGAATCACAACAGGGGTAAAGGATACGGGCACCAAACATACTGGGCTTAACACACTCTATATATTTCGATTAACCTCGACAGACATTTAAACAGTTTCAATGGAACGAAAGTTTGCATGGTTTCTGAAACCTATTTCTATGCGGGCAAATCCCGGGGTGGTGACTAAGTGAGACCATGGCTGGCCAAAGCCAATCTCTCTTGTATTTAGAGATATGCAGCTTGGAGTAGGATGTAGCTCAGTTGGAACACAGGCCTAGCATGCACAGGGCTCTGGGTACCATCTTGAACACTGCATAAACTGAACCATGGTGGTGCACACCTGTAATACCAGCCCTTGGGAACCAGAGACAGGAGAATCAGAAGCTCATCCTTGGCTGCACAGAGTATATCAAGCCAAACTGGGATGGACATATATTCTTGCATTTCTGACATGTCCATTTCCAAGTGGGAAGACCCGGGGAAACCATAGCTGTGATTCCTACTCAAGCTTCCATGTGGCCCTGCAAGCACCTTAGGGTGGAGAGGGGCACGAGAGAGAGAGACAAGAAGAACAGGCCTGGCCTCTTGCTTCAGGCCTTCCTACCGGTATTTCCCGACTTGAATTACAGTGAATTTTCCAAACCTAATAGTGAATCCACTTCCAGCAGAAGTGTGGTGGATTTAATTTCCACTGACTGCCTGTCAGACTTGCTCAGCCCCTGCAGCTCTGAGCTGTTCGGTTACTCAGAGTATCCTTATCTCTGCTATAAAGTCATATTTTAAAAATCGGTAGAAATAAAGACAACATCTGTTTAGGAATAAAGCACAGGTTCATGGTAAGGCTCTGGGGACTCACTGAGGATCCTAGTGGGTTTCCTCAAACATCGTTTTTATTAATGAAAGTGCAGATGTCATGTTTGATTGGATCTGGAGAAACCCAGGGCACAACAGAGGCACACCATGGGTGTCCTCTGTGAGGAAGTTTTCAGGGAGGGTTAAGTGAAGGAGGAAACCCGCCTTAAGTGGGTAGCACCACTCCGTGGGTTGGAGTCTTAGGCTGAGTGAAAGAGGAAGCAAAGGAAATCCATTTGCAAGCAGTGTCACACCTCTGTCACTGTACCTTTCCCACTGCGGTGGCCTGTGTCCCCAAACTGAGAGCTAAAATAAACCCTCCTTCTTTAACTTGTTTCTTGACAATATCCAGCAACAATGAGAAGGGTAGTCAATATGGTGTAGTGAGCATGCCCACAGAGGGGACCAAGTGGTGATGCTAAGAAGCTTCCTGAACAGACAGAATGCCACCAAATCACCTGAGTGTGTGTGTGTATGTGAGCATGTGTGTGAGCATATGTGTATGTTTGTGCAAGTGAGCATGTGTGTACGTGTGCATTGTGTGTATATGCACATGTGTGAGCACTGTGTATGTGCATGTGTGTGTATGAACGCATGTGTGTATGTGCACATGTATGCATATGTGTATGTGTGTGTGTATGTAAGCATGTATGTAGAAGCCAGGGGTTGACATCAGTATCTTTCTCAATTATTCTCTACCTTAGTTTTCAGACTGAGTCTCTTACTGAACCCAGAGCTCACTGACTCAGCAAGTCTGGCTGACATCCAAAGTTCAGGAATCCTCCTGCCTCTGTCTCCTCAACACTGGGTTGACAGGTGTACGAGACTGTGTCTGCCTTTGTTTCAGCTTCCCATCCTTCCAACTCCCCCATCCCCCATGTCTATGGTGCTAACTCTTGGATGGAGCTACTCTCCAGCTCTGTAATCTCTTCAAGTCCTTCTCACCAAGGGAGCATTGCCAATAACAAATGAAATGAGCACTCCCAACAACAACCCAGCGCGATATAATCTAAAAACAATAACACTAAGTTAGAGCTGTGTTTCCCCAAGAGTAACGGCATGCTAGCTAAAAGGCTCTGCAGCTGAGCAGGTCTAGAGAACGCTGAAGAGACAAGTTGTAGGGATATTCAAGGTTCATGGGCAATGTGAGTCACCATGCTTATCAGACATGTGACACTTGTGGTGGGAACAAAGGTGTCCTGGAACACACATTGGGCAACATGGACCTATGGTCATAAAAAGCAGTAGATAAGGAAGCCGCTACCTCATTTCATTGGCCTGAATCTTGACATCCTGATTATTTTAATTTCCTTACTGTGCATGTGTGTGCACGTGCTTGATGTGTGTGTTATGTGCACACATATGTATGAGAGTTCTTTTGTGTGTGTGTTATGTGCACATGTATGTATGAGAGTTCTCTTGTGTGTGTGTGTGTGTGCATGTGTGCATGCTATGTGCACATGTGTGTATGAGAGTTCTCTTGTGTGTGTCATGTATGTATGTGTGCATGCTATGTGCACATGTGTGTATGAGAGTTCTCCTGTGTGTATGTATGTGCACCTGTGTGCTTCTGGGTATGAAGACTGAAAATCAACTTTGGGTGTCATCTCTCAGATTTGGCTCATCTTGTTTCTGAGACAGGGTCTCTCAGTGGCCTGGAGCTCACTGATTATTTGAGGCTGGCTGGTCAATGAGGCCCAGGGACCTGTCTGACTTTGTTTGTTGGGATTACAGGTGTGTGTCATCATGCTTATCTTTTTATTTTTATTACTTTTTTACATATGTATGTGTGTATGCTATGTGCACATGTGTGTATGATTCACACTCCTCTGTGAATGTTTTTGTGTTTGTATGTATGTATGTATGTACAAGCTATATGCACACATGCATATGAGAGTTCTCCTGCATGTGTATGTGTTCATGTGTGCATGGGAACATGAGTGCAGAGGCCCAACATTGACTCTGTGTGTCTTTCTTGATTGTACTCTACTTGATATATTGAAGTGGGATCTCTCACGGAGCCCAGAGTTCACCCATTCTGCTAGTCTGGCTAGCCAGCTTGCTCTGACAATTTCCTGTCTCTGTTTTCCAATGTTTCAGAATTATAGGCAAGCTGCCATCCTCACCCACTTTTTATGTGGGTCCTTGGGATCTGATCTTTGGTCCATACATTTGCATGTCAAGTACTTTACCCACTGAGCCATCTCCCCAGGACCCACTTTTTAAACATGGGGATTGAACTCAGGTCCTCATGTTTGTGTGACAAGTGACTTGCCAACTGATGTGTTTTTCCCACTCCTACACAACTTACTCCTAACACTTTCTACCACTGTGAATAAAAAATAAATTGTCTACTATTATGTGTCAAAATGCTAAGTAGTGAAAGGGAGAGCAATCTGTGGTCACCACAGAGCCAAAACTGCCACTGCCTGCATGTGGCTACATTTCCTACAGACTTTTGCCTAAGCAGTACAAAGGGGTCTCTCCAGGCCTGTGCCTCTGCCACCTATTGACACATCCATATGGTAGACATGTTTCTATCCTGCACTTAACCAAACACACCACAGCATGGACTTTCTCCTGTTCATGGGGTTATGTCTCACGTCCTATGAGCAGGTCAGTCATAAGGGAGTCAGTGAGAAGCACCGAGGCTCAGTCCAGGGCACTGGGTAGTCTGTGACCAGGTACAAAGCACCATCCCTGTACTTGATGAACTCTGAGAGTGACAATACCAGAACACGCATGTGCACAATGGATTACAGAACATGCATGTGCACAATGGATTACAGAACATGCATGTGCACAATGGATTACAGAACATACATGTGCACAGTGGATTACAGAACACATATGTGCACAATGGATTATAGAACACACA